CAAAAAGTGGTTTTGTTAATAAACTTGCTTACTTAAACCCAATAAATAACAATGGTGAAGGTAAGAGCAGGATGCACAAAATCGAAAAAAGGATTATATGGCTCAAACCCCACCTTTGCATGTTATTCAAAATCAATATTGGACAAGTTTTCTGAAACTTATAACACTTCCAGAACAACAATTTAAGGTGTTTAATAGCAAAACTATTAAAAGAAGTTATTCATGTACAAAGAACATGTTTAAAATAATTGATCCCCACAAATATATTATAAACAAATTCAATAGTGTCAACAAAAATTTTAGTATGGACCCCCACCCAGCCCCATAATTGTAAAAATAGCAATCTTTGACCAGATGAGGGAAAATGTAGAACATCCGTCATTTATCAAGCTACCATTTGCCCCCAAAGAAAATAGATTGAATCACCATGTTTATATTGGTATTTCTGCAGGGGAATGGAAACAGACTTTATAACCATACACACGTTTTCCAACACAAGACTGAATCACTAAACTGCTCTCTGCAAAAGATTTTGGGAACTGAAAGAAAAACCTGAATCCTCAAATTGATTGGGAATTCGTAGATTTTTTTCTCAAACTCCTAGTAACTTTAAAATTAGAAATTGAAATTTTAAAATTTGACAAACAAAATATCTTACTGAATCAAAGTCATGAATCAGTTTCCTAAAATTGTCAGAAGCAAATTCAAACTAATATAATACATTTTCAACTTTGGACAATCCATTATCTTTCACCACATATTGTTTAATCCTTTCCTTTTCACTCCTTTCAAATTACCTTATCTGTTTCGTTTTTTCTTTTTTTAGTTGATAATACTTTGTATAAAGTCTTTGTAATACTCTTATATTATTGCTAGCTGTGATTTGTCAAATGTCTTTTACAATTTTGTTTTTGATCTCCCACTGTTTACATTTAATCTATATTTCAGTTAAATATTTTTTTCTTAATGACCAAATTTCATCCTGTGCTCTACAGTCTTTAGTTAAACCCTTTTTATTTAGGGTTTATTATAAGATTTGTTTTAAAACATTAAATATTTAAATTCTTAATCTAAAAAAAAAAAAAAAAAAAAAAAAAAAAAAGTTTTTACTTTTATTTCTTTACGTAATTTCTTATATTTAACTTAACTCTTGTTCAAAATAAGTCTAGGTCAGCCTATGTCTAGACAAATTTGAAAAAAAAAAAATATCTTGATTTTTTCCCCCTTCATTAATAATTCTATCCCTTCTTAACTTTCTTTTTTTTCTCTCTATCTTTCTCCCCCTCCTTTTAAATGCATTTTCCTTAGCTGTAAATTTCCCTCCTTTAAAAAAATTTTTTAATTTTTATTTATCTAACTCCTTCAGATGATGACAAGCCATTCTGGGCAAAATGGCCATATATCATGGGGGTATTGAGTTTTACATGTAATTTATATGCTCTGTAATAAGTACATTGAGCTCTCTTTTGTGAATCAGTTTTAATATTTTATATAGTAAATAATAATGGTGATGATTTATTTCACGGGATCAAATACCCACCTCTTAAGACTAAACAATTTTACAACAATAAATGGATTTTAAATTTATCCAGATGCAAGTGAAAGGGTTCTAAGTAATTTATATTCACTTAAAATGGTCCTTTACTCATAACTTAATTATTTAATATATAACATTTTTAAAATATTTTATTTATACTACCATTATTTTCAAAATCAAACTTTTTTTTTAAATTATAATGGGTATGATTGATGAAATTATTTCACTACATGAATTGAAGAAACATTTTATGTTCCTTTGTCTATTTTCACTCTTGTCATATCAGAAACTTTAATTTTCATAACTTTTTTCTCTATCTCCTACCCATTTTTCTTTATCCTACGTTCCTTTTTGAATATTTTCACTGTTTTACTTCTCACATCCAGTGAAAGAACATTCAACAGCTATTTAACAACTTCTTTCTCTATCTTACCCTCAACCCCATGTCTATTATCTCTCCCTTCCCTCATAAAAAACCTTATTTTAAGTTCAATATCTTCCTCTCTTTTTTTAGAAGACGTTTTTTTTTTACCTCCTACTCCACCCCTTTTTTCTGTATAAAATTAAAAAATCTATTCACTGTTCTTAAATTGTTTGGTCTGAAGAGAAGGGTGTTTAATCCCATGAAATAAATTATTACCAATGGATTTCTAAGGTATCCGTTTTCATCATATATATCTGATACCTTGGGCACCTTGAGGCGGTGTAATGGTTAGCAAGCTTGTCTCGCTAGAACAATTACGACCGAGTAGTGAGTTCGATCCTCACTGGGTGCCCCAAACATTCGGCCTTGTACCACATCAAACTACGCTTGGAAAATCTATATATATCTGATACCTAACCAGTAGTCGAATCAAAGACCTGAAACTCTTCTGTACAAAAAAAAAAAAAAAATAGATTGATTAAAAGAATGTTTGGCCCAGAGAAGATGTATTTATGAAGCTACAGCAAATAAAAGAAATGCCTGTTATATAAAAAAAAAAAAAAAAAAACATTCAAAATTTGTCATTAGTTATTCATTATGTAACTTTTTTTTTTTTTTTTTTTGTTCAGATCGAAAGGCTGCCCTCACCTTAAGTCAGATTCTAAGAATTATTACTTTGTTCCTGTCAGACACTTTATCAAGTCAAGATTGAATATTTTTAGGTGTCCTTTCTCAAGGAAAGGAATGCTTAAGGATCCATGCTGTTCTATGAAATAACAAGCCAGTCTTGTATGAGTTCATAACACCTCAATGTTCAATGCAGATGAATCACTGGATAGACAGCTACTTGAGAGAAATTGGTGCAACACAATCTTTCAATTGGATCTGTTACAGATTAGCATAAAATCTCAAAGATATAGCATTGAATTTCTCATTTATAAATTTGATTAAGATGATTCCCAATTTAGTGGGACTTGTTAGTAACCAATTTCATTAACAGATTCAATATGGATTCCTCAAAGTGCCATATTAACAGTGGTACACCCAGTGAGGACCAAAATCACTGCATTACTAATCAAATGAAAGTTACCCAGTACTTATTGGATTAATAGAGCATTCTTTACATTTTTTTTTTTTTTTTACTACTACCAATGCCATCAAAAATAAAGGCTAAAAAAAAAAAATTATCCACCATAGTTGTTTTTGATAATTGGCTTCAGTGAACAGAACATTATTTACTCCATGAACCATTTTGGGCATTTCTTGCACTTCTCATGGCGCCAATATTCTTATATCTGTTGCGTTGCTCTTCAGTTTGTCAAAGACGTTCTTTTATTTGCATTCTCATATTTTCTCTTGTATTAAATTTTGTTTTTAATTTTGAATCCTTTCAGCTCCACATTTTCTCATAGCAGATGACCTGGCATTAGCTTCATCCCTCGTTTCATTGTTGTCCTCTATTTACCCTACCCCTCCTGTCTCATTAATTTTCACCACTGAGCCTAGCATCACCTGGCTTGTGCTCTTATTGCTTCATCGCATTCCTGAGAATATCTCTAGCTACAACCCTCCCCAATGCCATACCTACATCTGATCCGGAGATAGGTGTAATCACTGTCTTCATTTTCATTCTAATCTTTCCTCAAGGGAATTTTCCATTTTATGATGTCCAGGGAACAAAATTCTTTTAAATGCACAAAAGTAACACAAAGGGAATTATTTAAATTTCTTTCTACATTTATTGACCAAATTTGTGCCGAATCTTTGATACAAAACTAAAATCTATTTATATATGATGATAATATTCTAGGTGTAATTACAAGTTAATACTAAATTCACTCAATAGTGATCACTCAATACATATTTAGAGGGAAAAGTGATAAAATAATTTACATAAGATATATAGTGACTGATGCCTTTTGTGCAGCAATGTTAATAAAAGTGTCATGATTTGTTTGAAAGTAATTGTTATTTGTAAACAAATGATTATTACCATTATAGCACTGTAGGTCAGTTTGTCTCATTATGCCCTCCCTCAGATGAGTTGTACTGGTTGGCATTCGCACCAGAAGCTCCAATACAAACATTTCAGAGGATAAAAAAAAAAAAAAAAAAAAAAAAAAAAAAAAGAGAGTTGGATGACATATCCAGTTAACACCATGGTGTTTAGAGTGATCACTAGTGATGGCAACGTTATGCCTCCATCTTCCCACAGAGCCTCAGATGAGATATGGAAGCCTAAATCAAGTGTGACTGCTGGTAAGACCTTATGTCTAGCAACAAGACCCTGCACCAAGCTGTCAGAATTTCTGCAACCAATAGCAATTAAGAGATGGTTCCACAAAACTCAAAACCTCACAATTAGTGGCCTTGCTGCCAAGTGTTGTTTATCGTCATACCCAGGACAAAGAGAACTTCAAAGTATAAAGACAAAAAGATTCTTCATAACACTCCAACTTCAATCTCATCTAACAACCTCTCTCGGTAGATGAATTTGACATGGGAACAGTATTCAATCAAATTTCACATCACATGATTTCCTTGTGTTGGGATAACTTAAAAGTAAACTGTACTTCGTGTGAATTTGGAACTACTTTTCAATGAAGATATTTCTCAAGAGATTAGCCAAGGTCTGCAACATTAAGACTCTAGATTGTGCATTCCAGAAAAGACATTTTGAATGCATAACACACAAAATGAAAGACATCAATGTCATCTAAGCATTTATCATTAAATAAAGAATTTGTAAGAAATAATCATCTATTAAGAAAATATGATACTTATTGATACACAGGAATATATATTCTCTGAAAATGAAAGAAAAAAAAAAAAAAATTAATCTCTTGTTGCTTGATAACTGCTGATAAATTGTTCCAAGCAAAAGACATTTTGAATAGTCAACATTGAAAGACAATTTGCTTCTAAGCATCTATAAAATTGATGATAAAAGCGCTGAAATTGTAAGAAATAATGACATCTATTAAGAAAATATGATACTTACATGATACATTTTGGGCAGGAATATCCACACTCAGTGTTTTAGCCAAAACTGGAAGTGAAAAAAAATTATTTATCACTTGTTGCTTGACAACTGCTGGTAAATCACAGGGGGTTGAAATTTACTTCATGTTCTGACCTTGAAAAGTATTTAACTTAATTGTTGCCCTCCCACAAATATACAGAATTTCTGCAATATTTTCAGAAGTCAGTTCATCTGATTGATGTTCTTATATGGAAGTTTAATGATAAATGTATATGATCCAGGTACGAAGATTTACGTTAACTTTCATTGGCAGTTTTGTCACACTTTTGAATAAGTGTCTAATGATTACCAGTTAAATATAGATAATTTTCATTGATGTCAGATGTAGAGCTGATCTGATGCAATAGTTGGGACTGACACCAGATGGCAGTAAATAACACATTTGAGGTAGGCGAAGGAAATGCATTCAATTTGGTAAGATACTTTTTTTTTAACACTTGAGAAAGCCTCCTTTTTTTTTGGCCAACAGGGAACGATATCAATTTGGTGTTGGGATACTTGACAGAGAGTAGTTTGATTTTCAATGACATAGTATACAGTACCCACTTTACAAATTTTTTAGTTTACCAGAGGAAAGAAAGAAGAACTGATTATATAATGGTTAATTCTGTTAAAGTCACACACAATTAATTGTAATAGGTTTCCCTGTATGGCAATTACAAGGTGGTACTGAAAATGTTTTGGTCAAGATCATAAAAAAATAAGTTCTCATGTCCATTTGGTCAGATGTTGGGAAATGGACTGAGCCGAGAACTTTTCAGCACCCTACTCATACAAGAGAGAAAAGTACAAAAACTATAGAAGAGATTAAATCTTTTTTTTCTTGTAAAATCTGTTCATTTTTACAAAATAAAGAATAAAAAATAATCCATGTTTTAGTAATTTCCAAGTAATATTGTAATTTAATCAAAGACTTCAAAATTTTATATGGGTTTTGGTCATTTATTCAATTTTGTATAAAAGTTGTATAAAAGTTGTTTAATAAATGTTTAAATTTGCCAGGTAATAAAAATAATAATCTATGTATGAACAACTATTTATAGGTTTAGAGATAAATAGTTTCAACTCCCATTCTCCATCCTAAGCTCAAGAAATATGTAGAGAATTAATGAAAAGGTATTTGAAACTTACCAATTCCAAAGGAGAAGCAACCCAGCTGAAGAAAAAAAAAAAAAAAAAAAAAAAAAAAAGATTTTATTTTCCCTTTGCTTAAATTATTATTGCCATAAGTAACAACCAATTTTTTTATCATTAGTTAACAAATTCTATTATTTCATTATGAATTTTATAAAAGTTAATCTTTGAGATCTGCTTGAGTTTGAAGTACATTTTAAAAAGAAATTTAATAATTTAATATATTGGTTTTTTTAACATCTTAAAGAGAATGAAAGAAAGAATCCCCGTCTTACAATCTGCTGTGAGTTTTCTATAAAGATTTAAAAACAGAAAAAGAAAACAAACTTACCACTAACAGTCCCGAGAATAACTTCATTGCTCCTGAAAGGGGAAATATATGTAGATAGAAGATAAGACGAACAAAAATAAGTGTTAGGACTAAATCAAGAGCAGCTTCATTCTTTCATGATATAATTCGCAAAACCAAAGATATTTAAAAACAAATTGCAGAATTGTAAAAAAAAAAAAAAAAAAAAAAAAAAGGTTAAAAATAAAATCAAAAACTAGAAAAACTGACGCAAACAATTCTTGTAAAAAATTCTTTATTCATTGAAATTTTGGCAGACAAATGTCCTTAATGTATATTATTTATAAAAGTAAAAATATCCAAGATTCCCAATAACGAGGATTAGAACTCAAATAAAAGTAGTAGGAAAAAAGCAATAGTAGAAAAAAAAAAAAAAAAAAAAAAACCCCAGATTCCCAATAATGATTAGAACACAAATAAAAGTAGTAGGAAAAAGCAATAGTAAAAAAAAAAAAAACAACCCCAGATTCCCAATAATGATTAGAACTCAAATAAAAGTAGTAGGAAAAGCAATAGAAAAAAAAAAAAAAAAAAAACCCAGATTCCCAATAATGATTAGAACTCAAATAAAAGTAGTAGGAAAAAAATAAAAAAAAAAAAAAAAAAAAAACCCAGATTCCCAATAATGATTAGAACTCAAATAAAAGTAGTAGGAAAAAAAGCAATAATAGAAAAAAAAAAAAAAAAAAAAACCCCAGATTCCCAATAATGATTAGAACTCAAATAAAAGTAGTAGGAAAAAAGCAATAATAGAAAAAAAAAAAAAAAAATTTGATTCCCAATAATGATTAGAACTCAAATAAAAGTAGTAGGAAAAAGCAATAGTAGAAAAAAAAAAAAAAAAAAAAAAAAAAATGAAATACCTTTTTAGTTTACGGTAAATAAACTTTTTCGTCGGTTCTTTTCTCGTCAGGTTCTTAATAGAAATTAACGCTTTTCCTCAGACTAAATAAAAAAAAAAAGAAAGCAAGATTTCGTCTGTTACTTGACCTTAACATTCGACTATGAAACGTTTAAATAAATGGCATACGTGTAGCATGGGTGTGGAACCGAAGCGGGCTTGAAGGATTTTTTTGGTTTCATAATATCTTTGGTGGATTTAATAATTATTCCCACTCAGTCATTAATTTAATTAGAATTGCTGAATTCTTAATTGATGTAGAGAAATTTATTTACTGAAAAAAGTTTGAACAAAGTAGCAACAAATAATTTTTTTTTTTCTTACATTCACTTTCTATTAGCGAGTCTGCTTCTTGATTCTATTTTTATCCAAAGGCAAAATACAAAAGCGACAATTTTTATTATTTTTGCGGGACAATTGGGTAATTTGTTCCGGTTTTCTCCACCTGAAACATGTATGAATTTCTGGGTATTATAAACCTAATGTCTTCAGCCACTATTTTTTTTTTTTCTTAAACCACTGCTCATCTTACGAGTTTTGCTGTTACCATCTATGTTGTTGTCAGAGCTCATATTGCAATTTTTGTTATTACCGCTTTTCTACTGCGGCACTTCTTTCATTTCTATGCTTGGAGATTTTTTGTGGCTTAGGTTATGTGCCAATTCCTTAAGTTTACGAATTTTCTAATGGTGTTCTTTGTCTATGATCTCAACCTGATCGCACAGAAGGCGGCGATCTTCCTTTGGTACTTTTAATAAAGAAAAGAAACAACTTCCCAAAACATGATATTGTCCCAAAGAAACGAGGAGGTTTTTACAGAAAGAGGACAAAAAAAAAAAAAAAAGTTATGGCAAAAATATGAGCTTTTTTCTTTGTTACTTAAAAGTTTTACTTTCGTGCAGCTCTTCCTATAGCCGGTCTTTATTTTGTGTTAGGAAGAAAGACCTGTTTTTCGCCTTCCAGTAGCACACAGCACTAGCATGGCCACTGTGTAATACACTGAAACTGAATGACGAAATACACGAGTGTAACATAAAAGATTTAATAAAGGAAACGACTTACATAATTAAAATAAAAAGATTTATGTCCCAAAACAAATGATTTTTCATATTGTCCCAAAGAAACGAGGATTTTTACAGAACGAGGACAAAAAAAAAAAAAAAAAAAAAAATACCAACTTTATGGCCTTTGATAATCCGCAGATAAGTGAATAGAAATTTACTTTTTTCTTTCGCTAAACCGCGCACATGTTGACCAGTTTACGTGTGTGGATGGCTTTGTGGTGAGGAAGGTAAAGAGACCGTTCCTCAAAAAATGGAGGAAGAAAAACTAAAAAGGACAGAAGGGTTCTCCTCTATAAATGGGACACACTCTCAGGAGATTAACTGTTGTCTCCCTACAGGCGCAAAATTCACCCACCAAGGTGCCGATTTGTCGACGAAAAGGGGCTTAATGTTTGTTCATCTACTCATCCCCCCCACCAATGTCGACGTTTCATTTTTTTTTTTTTTTTGATAAAGGAAAATTTTTCACGTTATAATTAAGACGAAAAGAGATTTAAAAAACAAAAAAACACTAGTCACTATTGTTTAAATTTAGATTCCTAAAAGCGAGGATTAGAACTAAAAAAAAAAAAAAAAGCAATAGTAGAAAAAAAAGAAATACCTTTTTACGGCAAATAAGCTTTTTCGTCGGTACTTTTCTCGTTAGGTTCTTAATAACGCTTTTCTTCAGGCTAAAAGAAAGCAAAATCTTCGTCCAACAAACGCGCAGAGATTTTAGTTCGCATCACTGCCTTCAGCTTTTTAAATACCAGTTACCACCCCTTAACACGTGAGCTTTAGTTTAAATGGCAAACGTAGGCCTAATTACTCCCTCAACGAAATTAATACGCGTTTTTTTTCTTTTTAATTTAAGTAAAGTTTTTACTTATTTTTTTTAAGAAAGTTAACTTTCAAATGTATGAAAATATCGCCAAATAAAAGAATAACCCAGTACTTTCAAATATTGAAAATATCGACAAATAAAAGACTAACAAAGTAATTTTCAAATGTATGAAAATAAGTAGTTTTTACTTAATTTTTTAAGAAGAAAGTTAACTTTCAAATGAAAATATCGACAAATAAAAGAATAAAGTAATTTTCAAATGTATGAAAATAAGTGATAAGTATACTTTTTAAAGAAGAAAGTTAACTTTCAAATATATGAAAATATCGACAATTAAAAGAATAACAAAGTACTTTCAAATATATGAAAATATCGATGAAAATACTTATAAATTATAAATAACAAAAAGAACAAAATAAGTAGGACAGTAAAGCATTTTTTAATATTATATATTAATTGTTGCATTAGGTGGTAAGAATTCAAAGTGTATTATTCCTTGGTGATCCCACCAGATTGAAAGAAGAACCTTTGCCCATGAAGTTCCCTTCTTGGCTGTGGCTGGGGTCCTTCCCCTTTACCAAGCCATTGTCTACGAGTCACAAGTCTATCCAAAAAAGGTGAAACAAGTTGGCGAGAATGGAGAGAAGAGCAGATGTCAACTCAGGATTTGAGGTTGTTTTCAGACTGTTCATGAGGCACCCATTTTCCAAGTTTAGGAACTTTTCTAAGTTGTTGAAGATGACGATGAACAGTTGTATGGTTTGAACTGAGAACCACTGCCAATTCCTCAACTGATAAAGCAGGGTTTTCTTCAAGGGCTGCTTCAAGAAGCTTTTCATCAAACTCAACTGGACGTCTGGTTTGATCTTCATCTTCAAGGGTGAAATCTCCACCGCTGAATTTTGCAAACCATCTTCTGCAAGTTCTTTCATTCACACATTCCTCTCCATAAATTGAGTGAATGTTTCTAGCCACTTCGGCTGCTGAGTTTCCTTTCTTGAACTTATAAAGCATTATGTGCCTTAAATGATTCTTGGTTACTTCCATGTTAGCAGGGTTTTAATCAAACAAAATTTAATTTTATTGTTCTCTGAAATAAAATTTGATCAGTTTAAATGCATCTAAACATAAAAATAATGTTCAGCTCCATTAGACATTATAAAATACTCTTTAACTTTCGTTCATTTTAACCAAAAGTTAATATTCAAACAGAACTTATGGGATGACCTGATACTTATTTTCTCATAGACTGTGGTGGTACTGTGATATCTGCATTACATATAATTCCTTTTTCTATTGTTAATTTGCCTTGATTCTTTATATAGCCTTTCAGCAATTACTCCATTTATTCCTTATTATTCTATCCATAATTCTGTTCAACATTGGATCCTGCCTTGTCCCAAACTTAAACAGATTTGAGGACAATGCATTCATTTCTATCCAATACAAAATCCTATCCTCACAATTTTCACTTGCTTCAATATTTTTACTCTCATAAATTTAAACGAGATAATGCTTCCACATGTGGAATAGTATTTCCTTTGATATATATTATGGCAATATACCATCTTTGGATATTTAATATCCTAGTTACAAAATTTTTTCCACTTGCTTTTCCTATGTACATACTGTCTGAAAATAATTCCTTTTTTATATATAAAACACCATTTCCCAAAGGCCAGAAACTTATTTTTTCTATTTTCATGCAATATCTGCATACAATTAAGCTTTTAGTCACACTGTAAATCTCTTTAGAGGCATTAAATTTTTGAATTAATTTCAAGTGTTGTAAGAACTCCAAACATTCTTCTAGATTCATATGATGAGCTTGAAGCCACTCTAGAATTTTATGCTCATACGAGATGTCAAACATTCCTTCAATCAGTCTGAGCACAATTAGCTCATCTTCAATAGATATTTGTTCTGAACGTATTCTTTCACTTTCAATCGCTGTAAATATTGCAGAATAGTTTTGTCTGAACTGTCTACTTTTCAAAAAGTTAGTTCTTTCCATTATGACCAATCCTTTTTTGTAGTTGAAGACATGCAATTGCATTCAAAATATTTAAATTTCAGTATTAAATAACCTACAGAGGTGTTGATATGCCGTTAACCAATCAACCAATTATATGAATCTTCTGATGACTCATAACTCTTCAATTAATGATTGAATAAGCTCATGGTGAGTTCTACAACAAAGTATCTGTAGAAATTCCCCCATTGCATCGTTAAATATTTGAGCTTAACTTTAACAAAATATTGCAATAACAATCATAAATTTGAATGCTGGTTGTTATTTTAAGAAGTAATGGGGTACAAATGAAAATTTGAAACTTTACTTTTCCATTTCATTGAAACAGACGTTAAACACTTTTATTTTTCCTTCTTTCATTTTCTCAATGAAACCATCTAGCATCTCTGATGCTTTGTTTTTCTATAAAATTGTCATATAGGAAGAAAATGAGTAACTGCCAACAGTGAGGTTCGAGTGTGACACTCTGGACTTATGAATATATGTTTTCTGCCAGGTGTATGAATAGCGGTGTCAGGCTACTGACTGAAGGATTATCAAGTGACTACTGAGTGGAACTATCCAGTTGAATTAGTATGGATTATTGCACGTTGATGATTTGGGTTTTGTTTTAGGATTTACTGGATGTTAAGCCAAGCTGCTCTACTAACAAGGTATTCACTGAAATTGTTAATTATCTTTGGTTGACTTTTATATCTGTTCTTCTTAAGTATTTATTTGCAGTTGTAATTAAATACTGTTTTATCTTAATATTGAAGTCTTCAGTTATACTTAATTATTAATGGCCATCATATGTCACAAAAGAAATCAAAACGGAATAGTCCATTATTTATGATGTATTGGCAGGAGATGTTAAACACTATTTTTCCTTTCTTTCATTCATTCATTTTTTCCCTGAAACCAAGTACTGTCTCTGATATGTCTTTTCCATGTAATCAAAATGGGATAGTTCATTATTTATGAGGTATTGGCAGGGCGTAGCGGTTGTGCAAACTAAGGGAGGGACACAGAATTATAATAAGACATTTGTGAACTATAGAACAAGAAAAATTAAACACATAACAACAAAAGAGAGAGTATGCAGTAATGGCAGTGTGAAGAGAAAACCAATCCTTTTGACGCAGCTTTTTTTCTTAGTATGTTTGTTAAACTTTGCTGAATTTTCTTTGTCCTTAGTCTTCTTATTTTGGCAGTGATTTGGATAGTGATTCAAGACAACACATAGATAGTGCAAAAGGCAGTGAAAACAATGATTGTTTTGAAGAAACTGACAAGATATTTCAGTCATATGATGTCACACAAAAATATACCGGAATTCCATGGGGGTTGATTCCATAAGAATTTGTGAGAAACCCAAATCTCAAAACAGAAATTCAATATATAAATCAGGTAAATATTTATTTCACATTTTATGGAAACAATAAATTGAACATTCAAACATAAATAAATAATAATAAAATGGTGGTAAGTACATTATCACAGATTCTTTGAAAAATTCCTGATAAGAATATGCCCCAAAATTAATACTGGAATTTTTCAAATATAATTTTTCCCCTTAGGAATTTATTATTAAAAAGTAACACTCATTTGAATCAGGTAAGATGGAAAAAAAAATGCTTTTGTGGAATCATTGAATCTTTAAAAATAATTATAAATTAAATTTTTTAAAAAATGACATTTGGTTAACAATTAGAATTTTATTTTCATTTTTATATTTAAACTGACTGCAATCAATGGAATAAACATTTATTTACAATATATGGCATTACATTTGTACCTGCAAAAAAATGATCTGTCAAAAAGACAGTGTTTTTTGTCACTCCTATTACTGTATACTCCCTTGGGAATATTTGTTGCTTTAAAAAAGTTATTTTTAAGAATTTTAATAAAATCCAAACATATGAAACTGGATTTATGCATTGTCTGCTTTATTGAGAATTGGTAACAAAAGAATTAAAATATTTTTAGATTTTTTATTTACAAGAATAATTTTATATTTACAAGTTTATAAAAAATATGTGAACTAACTAATATGTTATTTACCATATAAAGAAATAATTATGAAAACAATGTCTAAAGAAGAGAAGAAGAAAATTTAAGTAAATACAATTACAAGTCTTTAATTATACATTCTGAAAAATGTATTTTCCATGAATTTCTTTCAATTGTTCTTACAACATAAATTTCCTAAAACAGATCGCAAGTATCTGGATTTATACTTTACTTCAGAATTGACAAGAAAAATGTTAAATACTATTTATTAGACTGTTTAATTACAAGAATAGTTTTTAATGCTTTTGTTAATTCTGGAGGAAAAAAGAGATTGCATAAATCCAGTTTCATATGCTTGAGTTTTATTAAAATTCTAAAGATTGCTTTTTAAAACAATAGAAATTGTTGATGAAGCCTACAGTAATAGCGGTGTCAAGGGAAAAGAAAACTATGCAATAATAGTGGCGTCAAGGGAAAAGAAAAGTCTGCAGTAATAGCGGCGTCAAGGGGAAAAAAAAAGTCTGCAGTAATAGCGGCGTCAAGGGAAAAGAAAAGTCTGCAATAATAGCGGTGTCAAGGAAAAAGAAAAAAGTTCTTTTGACACTGTTTTTTGCAGGAATTAATGTTAAAATTAGCCACTTAAACATTCCCGATCTTGTGCTATTTGATATACCTCTCCTGTTATTTTGAAGATAAAACTAATTTACTATGTTTAAAATTAGTGGAAAAATATTGACAAAAATGTTAAGATAACAATAGCAGATAAAGAACGTTAATGGGTGCAATATCAAACTTTTTCTAGGATGAGAGTGTAGTATCTGTACACACTGTTTTGGATCAAAACCCTTCCCCAGCTTCCTGCCATGATAAGTGTGTAGTATCTGAGCACTGTCTTGGATCTGAGCCGTTCTTCCTGAAGGGTTTTATCATATATTTTATAATAACGTAATTAACCCATTACGACATAAAATTTCCTTAAAATTTTACCTCTTTTGGCTTAATCTGTCTTACTGGCTTTATTAGCTTGCTTGTGGTGAAACAATTTAAAAAGGAAAAAAGAAAAACCTCCCCAAAGATTTCGATGTCATGCGCTATTAGGTTAAATAATTTCAGCATCCTATTTTAGTAGGAGGTTAATTAAACCAAAGTAGGTATAAAACTTATTAATTAATAATTCCAGAGGCTGGCCCCTAATTTTTGGCCTATAATTTGCATATACATAATTTATTATGTATTTATATACTGAGTCGGCAAAATGATTGTTTGGATTATTAAGTAAATATCCTACTTTATAAAGTGAACAAAGAATTTAAATCAACAAATTTTTTTGTAAAATCAAACCATCTTACCAAAATCTGTTCTGAATCAAAAAATAAAAAATGCAATAAAACTAAGACATTATTTAATTAGAGAAGCTTTTAATTGCTTTTATGAATAATATATATTAAAGACAATATTGTCTGAAGAACAACATTTTTTTTAAAGATCTGTTTTCATTTTTTACAATTTTCAATTGAATAATTCATAAAGATTTTAAATCTTTTAAAATTCAGTTTCTGTGTGATAACTTAGTAAATATTGTTATTAAGTAAAACTATATTTACTAATCATATATTGTAAAGCTTATTGCAATCTGACAACCGCAATATTTTAAAAAAGAATTTTGATTTGTTTTTGTATGTGTGATATATGTGTAGAATTTCTAAGTATGGATGTTCGAACCTATAACATTATTATTAAAAAGGTCACGTGTTTTAAGTTATAAACTTTGTCTGCTTCACCATACTTAACTATGAACACATTTGGTGGTCATTCAGCTGTCAAATTGACTAACATGTCAGAAAAACATCACCACATAATTAAGAAATGCTTGTATACAACATTTTATGCTATAAGTAGGTAATATTTGTTTTAAATCAGATTAATTTAACTTTAAATTTGTTAATTTTCTATAAATACAGTTTCAGAAATATATATATATATATTTCATTTTTGCAAGATTTTTAAAACTGAGAATTAACTTTTGTTTACAAATGTGTCAAAAATGGGCATTTTCATTGATTTTACTAAAAAAAAAAGAAACAAAAAACGATTCTGATCGATATAATTTCTGTTTGAAGTAAACCACAGAGTATTTTGCTTACTGAAAATAGTAAATTTTAAATCCTTTAGCTTTCAATTAAAGCTAAAATGAAAGCTTCAAGAAAGCTATTTCATTTTAAAAAATTAATTTTAAACCTTACATATACTGAATTAGTGGAGGTAGCTACTTTTGGCCAACCTTGATACTTTGCAATATTTCCCCAGCTTGAGAAAGTCATTACTGCATGAGATACACAGAACTCAACCATTCCATCTTGTCGAGGCTCAACGACAACATATTTTATGATGTAATATTATTCAAATTCTTTAAATGATGTACTATTATGTATTATTAATTTTCAACTAATATTTCTTTCATCTTATTTCTCTTGCTTTTACACCAAGTAGTAATAGTCTTTAGTTGTCTATATTTTGTTTTAGATGAAGCCTTGTTGATTATTATTAATTTTTAACTATCATTTCTTTCATCTCAATTTCTGTAACTTTTTATTGTAACTGTTAGGTCATCATTCCACAATCACTAGAAGCCAATGAGATGACAGAAATACTTGTCAAAAATTAATAATAATGGGAAATGATTTCATTCATTAAATTTTTTCTTCGGGATAAAAAAAAAAAAAAAACAAACTTTATCCCAAAGTGTATTCTGATAGGATTCTTTCATAAAAGATAAAGACATTTTATCTTCTTAATTACAGTAGAAGGCACGTGAGATAACATCAGAAAAAACAGGAAGTGCTTTGGAATCAACTTCATTTTGTATAAGCAAAATAAAATCTGAAGAAATCATTGCAATTAAAGCTAAAAAAATAACAAAAACAAACAAAAAAAAAGACAAAAGAAAAATAATCAAAATAAATTCATAAACAAATATAATGACATAACTATTTTGTAAAAATCTGTTTTTGTTTTTTTTTGCTCTTAATATTTTAATAATAGGAGGGGGAAATTGAAATCTTCTCAGCTCTGGTTACTTCCCCAAATCTGACCAAACATCAAATCTTTGGGGCCATTTTGGGATACAGACACACACTATATATATTTTCTGATATAACATTGCTTTATTTTAAATACTTTTCAAAGAACTTTTCAATACACATAAAAATAACACTTTCGATTTATTTACCTATCAACAGCCAGTTTCACATTTTGTGATTTTTCAAAATTGTTTTTGAAAACATGAAAAGAACAGTAGAACTTGAGGGGCATTCAAAATAAACAGACATTCATTTTAAAAAGCCACTAAGCAGGAAATGGGCTGTTAATAGGTAAAGAAATCAAAAATATTATTTTTATGTGTGTTATATATATATATATATATATATATAAAATCAATACAACTTAACAAATGTAGTGCAGGAATATAATCTATAATCATTGCAATAAACTTTCTAAATTTAATATTAATTTTATATTCATATTTATTTTTGGAAATGAATCAGTTGTAAAAAAGAAATGGCAAAAAATACAATAACTTTGGAAATTACTGTATTTGACAGCATATAAGGCACACTTTTTTTTACGAAAAATATCTTTTAAAATTCCCCTGTATCATATATGCCATATGTAGATTTAAAATTTGCAATAGTCAGCCGAAATTAGCTGCCTGACAACTCTTATTAGCTTAGAGTAACTTTCATATACCTATTGTCATTATTTAAAAGGCTATTATGCAGATGAAAAGTGTTATCAATGATAATATTAATTTCATCACAGTTAATATTAGTACTTTGTTTCACTAAAATTATATGCAATAAATTCAAATTATATATTTGTAAAATATATTTGTTTCATTAATATTTTTTTTGCGACTGCATTGGTATAAATAAAATCAGATTTTTTTTTATCCTAATTATTCCACTAAGACGTTTACAAGATGCAGGTTGTACAAATCATATAAAGGAAACGTTTTTGACTGAATTTTAATGGTAACTCTAGTATTTTGCTCACTTGTAATAATTGCTTCATTTTTTTTATTTTGTTTTCTTACCTTTGGATATAATAAAGTTCTTTTTTTCCTATTATTTTTTGTTTAATTCTAATCATGGCTTGTTTAACCCAAATAATACCTAATAAATATAGTCTAGGCTGTACCATCTAATAATTTTACTAATTACTAATTTTTTCTTGATTTGCCCTGCTGTAATTTGAGTGCATCTTATATACCGTCAAATACAGTATTCAAAATTTGGAATTTCTGTCTGAATTTCTGAGATGAATTACCATAATTTACACTATTTATATTTGGACTATCGTCCTCATCTTTGTTGTTGTAGATAAGACAACATTTCAGCTATTGTACCCTCAGGTATAAATTGATCTGGGTAACCTACAGGGAATTTAAAACTGAACCATTTATTTAATCTACAGGGGCAGACTGTTCTTGTCCCAATCTCCATGTCTAGGGATATTGGCTAGTTTTTATTTTTCGTACTGCTCAGTTATTGCTTGCCAGTTTCCTCTGTGAGTTCAAGTACACACTGCCTGACCTGGGATTGAACTCACAACCACTATATAGATTAAATAAAGTGTTCAATTAACCCTGTAGGTTATATAGTGTAAATAAAATTTGAAAGTTTAAGATCTTTAAATTTTGGAGATTGTGTAAAAGCACGATCCAATGATGATTTTTAAAACTACTTTTTTTTTTTCTTTTTTTTTTTTAGGAAAAAAAATAAAGAAAGAAAAACATTTTTTATTTTTTTTAATGTCACCTGAATTTACTTTGTCAGTAACTACATTTCTAATTTTACATTTCCTTATTATTCAGTAAAATCTCTAGAAATTGGTAATAGTTTTCATTTTGGGTAGAGTAAAGGATAGCGGCTCGGATTGAGGAATCAGAGAACCGAGTTCGAATTCCAGTCGAGTTCATTGCATTCACTAATACTCTTGGGAAATGTATGAGTCCAACTCACCTCCCCCTAACTATGGGTGAATAGTAGGATAGATTGGGTTCTATAGCCTTGGATGGCAACTGGTCTAGGAGAAGGAAAAACTCTGAATTCAAAACTGTATGTAGCCCTGGCTAAGCACATACTATACAGTAAGGAAAAGGATTGTTCACGTTGACTCGATGATCCCGACTACGGTCGATTTTATTTTTTTAGTAGATTTATTTGTAAGGAACAAATTATTTAAATCAGTCATTGAAAAGAAAGAAAAAAATTTAAAAATTTGAAAAAGAAAAAAAAAAAAAAAAAAAGATTCCCACTTCAATCAAAAGATCAAATGTATAAAGAAAAAAAAAACCCCAAAAAAACCCAGAATTTTTTGCCAACAAAAACACATTGAAGAGTCATGAATCTCAGCAGTGGCAGCAACAAAAAAAAAAAAAAAAGGGTGGGGAAAAAAAATGAAAAATGGTATCCCAGATGTTTATGCAATACAGCACAAATCATCTATTGATGTCTTCAAATCTCCCTCCAGTACCTGCTTGAGTACAGACTTGGCAATATAACTGGTTGTACCTTGCCTCACATTTGCTTGCGTGCTGATAAACATATGCATTGTTACTTTTTCTTTTTCCACAATGCCTTCTTTCAACTTGTCATCTTTGAATTGGGCAAAAGCATCATCCAAAATCTGAATTCAAAACAAAACAAAAAAATAAGCAAAAATTCAAAGAAGCAGAATCAGTGGTTAAATGGGGCAAGGAATGGATTGTAAATTCTAATGCCTCCAAAACAAAGCTGTTCTCATTTTATCACCACAGAGAACCTTTTCTGTCTGCCATCAGCATGGCTGAATGCTAAGCTCCACTTTGCACCTTCTTGGACTCATATCTTCCACTGACATGAAGTTGAGTGATTAGATTGAATCAATTGCTAGGTCTGATGCTAGGAAAGTTGGTTCACTGTGTTGTGTCAGATAATCTTTCTTGTCAGAATCCATCTTGCACATTTATAAATCTACCATTCATCCGTACATTGAATATTGCTGGTCCGGTGCTCCTGCTGCATATCTCGAGATTCTTGATGAAATTCAAAAAAGGGTCTGTAATGTTATCGGTCCTGACCTGGCATCTCAACTTTAGTCATTTTATCACTGATGTGACATAGCTTCCCTCTTTCGTGTCTTGACTGCACAAATTTAATGAATTGGGTTGTTTTATGGGTGTAAGAATTGTAGATTATAAGGATATGTAACATAGAGATGATAGTTTTGATAGTAGACTTGAAGAGGTTAAGAATTTGTAGTCATCACGGAGACATTCTCTTGGGCATCTATTTCACAAAATAGTAGTCTTTAGAAAAAAAGCTCTGTTTGTTCAAATGGAAATTACTTCTTACCAATAAAATATGAAGGGAATAAGTATGCTTCACACTCTTCTCATGACTGGTCTTTGTTGTAAAGGTCTGAACTGGTGGAACAAGGGAATGAAGCACATCAGAACATTTCCCATGGAAATAAGGATAGTGTAGCAATAGGCTGCATCCGTGGGAAAGTAGAAGTTGTATGGTGGAAAATAATAGTTCCAGTTTACCCTATAGTCAAAAAGGTAGGCATGGATCTGGTTTGTGCTACAGTCGAAAAGGTAGACACGGATCCGATTTTGCACTACAGTCGAAAATGTAGGCATAGATCCAACTTGCACTACAGTCAAAAAGGTAGGCATGGATCCAGTTTGCGCTACAGTCGAAAATGTAGGCATAGATCCAGTTTGCGCTACAGTCAAAAAGGTAGGCATGGATCCAGTTTGCATTACAGTTGAAAAGGTAGGCATGGATCTGGTTTGTGCTACCATCCAAAAAGGTAGGCATGGACCTGGTTTGTATTACCATCTAAAAAGTTAGGCATGGATCTGGTTTGTGTTACCGTCAAAAAGGTAGGCATGGATCAGTTTACAGCAGAGTCAAAAAGACTCAAAATATACATAAGTTCGATCTACACTTTAGTTGGACAGCTTCAATTTCTAATAAACAAGAAAAAGTATTACTTACCTTATCCATGTTTACTGCTTGTGGAAAATGTAGCTCAGGATTTCGGTCAAGAATCGTAGCAACAACCATAAAGGACTAAATGAATGGTAGAAAAAAAAAAAAAGACTTGGTGTAAAGTAGAACCATTCAAAATAATTTCTTACAAAATTTATTCAAATCTATAAATAGCCTTAATTGAAAGATTTAATGAAGTGTAAACACATATTTATGGTTTTAAAAAAGTCAACAAATTTAAGAGAAAAAAAAAGTCAACAAATTTAAGAGAAAAAAAAAGTCAAAAAAAAAAAAAAGTCAACAAATTTAAGAGAAAAAAAAAATTTAAGAGAAAAAAAAAGTCAAATTTAAGAGAAAAAAAGTCAACAAATTTAAGAGGAAAAAGTCAACAAATTTAAGAGAAAAAAAAAGTCAACAAATTTAAGAGAAAAAAAAAGTCAACAAATTTAAGAGAAAAAAAAAAGTCAACAAATTTAAGAGAAAAGAACAAATTTAAGAGAAAAGTCAACAAATTTAAGAGAAAAGTCTACAAATTTAAGAGAAAAGTCTACAAATTTAAGAGAAAAGAAAAAGTCTACAAATTTAAGTGAAAATGTTAATATATTTTAAAAATATCTGCAAAATAAAAAAGTTCACAAAATAAAAAAACATATCTACAAATTTCTCTAAAACCATAATTTGTTTGTAAGAGTTTAGTCACTAGTTATTATGTGACAGAATAAGTTTTACTTAAACTGTTGGCTGAAGTAAATTTTAACCATAATATTTTTGAAGGTACCTAGAAGAACTGGAAAATATCTATACCTGGTTAAAATATTACATGGACTAAATCTAAGAGTGAAAACTAAAGTCATAAAATAGTGGAAAAAAAAAACTAAGACATGATTTACTAATATTTACATAACTGTCATATTTTACTGAAATATTTTAATTAAAATTACAGAATATCAGATAAATTATTTTTTCTTTGTCTTTAAATTTTTTTTTTTTTTTTTTTACTAATAACAGGTAAAGTTTCACTGATTAATCTGAAATGAAACATTTTAAATTCAAAACTTTTTAGTCTATTATAAATGATCAAAAAATCTCCATAAGACACAAACCTCGACCATTATTTGCCGATAAGCAGGATCTACAATACGGCTGAGCATTTTCTCAACCAAAAGTGAGAAATTCATCTCATACATTGTCATATCAGAGAGAGTTGGTTGCTGGAAAAAAAGCAAAATAACATTCTATGAACAAGAGAGAAATCAATAGTTGCGGTCAGTTTGTATTAAAAGTTAAAATTTCATATCAGTTGTATGCCACAATAAGATTAATAAAGAAAAGAAAATAAGAAAGCAGGAAGTTAATAAGAGAATGGTGTCATTTAGAATCTAACCAAGAAATAAATATAATTTAACTGACCTTTGGAAATCATTCCAAAAGACACAGGAATTGATTAATGCATTTAGACAGAGAGAAAGAAACATTAAAATTTGAATAAACATCCAGAAAGTATATATATATATATATATATATATATAAAAAAGAGTTGGTTGGTTTGACAATTTATGTTTCGGTATCAGTTTCCGGTTTTGTTTTCCTTCATACCGCAGTTTTCGGTTTGGTTTTTAATTTAATATTTTTGCTTTCTAAGGAAGCCATTCATTTTCTTGTGTAATGATAGCATTTTCAGTCGATATCTGATTTCATTTAAGATTGATAATACTTAATCTGTTCAACTAGCAATATCTCGTGTATTTCTAGTCCAATCTTAAAAATATTCATATGGCTGGAAAGAAAACAATATAATCTTTCTAAATATGTAATTTTTATGCGTTTTTATTCATTGAATTATTTTTTACAAGTTAAAATGGTATAGCTTCGACCAGCTGAAAATATGAAATGATTTTTTTTTTTTTTAGACTAAATTTTACACATTATTTTGTTTTGCAAAATCAAAGTGACCAATCTTTATCAATATTCTTGAAATTGTATACTCAATTAGAAGACAACTTAAACTACAACCAGGAAGATGTTCATTTCTTCTCTGACCCGAGGAAGCGAATTCCTTCAAAAATTATAAAGTAAGCAAAAAAAAAAAAAAAAAAAGGCAATTCTTTTCTGGTACGTCAGTCAACTATTATTGGTTGTAAATAAATTTCTTCTAAACAAGGAAAATCAATGAATTATTTTTCCCCTGTATAAATTTGTTTTTATCTAGTGAATACACCTAAAATTAAATATTAAAATAATTAAAAGGTTTTAATTTCATTTTTAGAATGTGTATATTTCCAAATCTGCAAGTATCACCTGTTCGTTTTTAGATACACATTTTAAAACTGAAATTAAAAAAATATTTTAATCATTTTAATATAATCTTAAGTGCATTATTCGCCAGATAAATCATAAACATATTTGTAAAATTAAAATGAATTATTTTTCCTTGTTTAGAAGAATTTTATAGGCAGAACAGTAACAAACACCCACCGACCACTGGTGGCTAAAAAAAAGAATAATTTTTAGTTTGTGTTTAAAAAAATGACTTGCAGTTTTGGTTTCAATTTCTTGATATAAATAGCTTTGAGAATTTTTAGTTTGTGTTTATTCTTTCAGCGGAAAAGTATGGAGGTATTTTTGATGAGGATTTTTCTGAATTGTGAGTGTGGACAGGTATGTTGTTGTAGATGTTTAGAAATATTGGATGTGTTATTCAGCATTATTCTACATAAAAGCGTTGATGTTGTGTGTCCAACATAGATATTATTTTTGTCATTTGAGATACAATCTCCCAAAGGGCATTTAAATTTGTAAACAATGTTGGTTTTCTGCAACATGCAATATATATGTATATGTAATTCCTATTTTTGCTAAGTGTACTTTTGAGTAGTAAACTTTCAATTTCATTACTTACCTACAAGTTTGTCTTCCTTATTTATTTCCCTCTGTTATCTTGAAAACATGAGATACAACAATAAATCTGTTGAGTGTGAAAATTTCTAAGCCATCTTTTCTCATTATGTTCCCAGTTTTTGTTTTCTCTAAAACTTTGTCATTGCTCACATGTTCAGTCCATGTTATTCTCAGCATCCTTCTGTAAAACTACATTTCTGTTGCTTCAAGTCACTTCTTCATCTGTGCAGAGATTGTCTAGCATTCACTGCCGTATAGGAGGTGTAGGGAAAAATGATGATGAGAGGGGGTCAAAAAGTGCAGTGCAGTGCTCGCTGGCAGGCCAGCTAGTTTTTTTCTTCTTCTTCGGTCACCTCAAGGAAATGGATTGCGTGACTCCCTTTCTCAGCTATTACACTGGGCAGTTGTGAAACAGACACCAGCTCAGCCACACCTACTTCGGCTTCCTCTTTGTCCGTCTGTCAATCCATATGTCCAGTTCTATTGCACACTGTCCACCGAATGACTTCGGTTCTGTCGTGCTGCTGGCACCCCACTTTTTATGCTATTCCAATATGGCCAAAATTTGCATGTGTGCAAATATCTTCTTATTGTGGACAAGATAGGCATGCATAAATTGCGTCTTCAATAGCGGCCATATTTCTTTTTGTCATCACTCTGCAGGCAAGACATGTTCGCGCTCGTTTCGAATTCTGAGGTAAGTCATGTCTTTCGCCACAGGAGGACCAATATTATATAATCTTTCATTGTTTCTAACTAAATTTTCCTGTTTCTAAATATTTTGCTTAAATTTTGGAAGGCATCTTTTGCTATTCAAATATATCTTTGGATTCTGGTATCACATTTTCTGTTCTCTTAAAACAATTCTTAGATATTTAAATTTTCGTAATTGCATGATTTTTGGCGTCTCCAATTCGCATGTCAGGCTGTTCCTTTTACTGACAATCATATATTCTACCTTCTTACAATTGATGTTTAGTCCTTTCTTCTTGCTTTCCTTTGCTATCTTCTTCAGTAGTGTCTGTAGCTTACTGTCTGTGCCTGCTATCAACACTGTGTCATCTGCATATCTAATGGTAAGATTGTGGCGGCCAATAATGAATCCTGGCAGAACTTCTAATTCTCAGAAAACTTCCTCACTGTAAAGGTTGAGTAAGTGCCTCAAATCTCTTCTTTGTTTGTGAGGAGATTATCCAGCATTCACTGGAGAACTGATATTGCATAAAAATTCAGTACTCTTTTCTTTATCTGTCTATATTTCTGAGATGAAGCATTGTAATTATTTACATTGTTCGGACTGTTGTCTTCATCTTTATTACCATATTCCCGACATTTCAGCCGTTGTATGATCTGGTCTTCTTCAGGATCTGTCTATATTTCCGAGATGAGGCATTGTAATTATTTACATTATTTACATTGTTCGGACTGTTGTCTTCATCTTTATTGTCAAAGTGACTTGACCCAAAGAGTTGCGAGTTCAATACTTGGCTATGACAGTGGTGAACAAAAACTTGGAGGGTTGAATTAAAGGGAGATAACTGAGACACCTGGAAGAGGCATGGCACGTGGAACTAGAACAATCTACCCCGGTAGACTAAATAAAGGGTTCAATTTTAAATTCTAATCACCTGAAGAAGGCTGGAGCATATAACAGCCGAAATGTTGTGAACATGACAATAAAGATGAGGACCACAGTCCAAACAGTGTAAATAATTACTCTTTTCTTTGTTTCTAATGAAACTTTCCCACAAAGTGCTGTAGAATGCACAATCAAGTTGGTTTGCAATTTGGGCTTGCAGACCAACTTATTCTATCATGATAGATACTCAAGAATATATATATATAATTAGAAAGAAAACTGAAAGAGAAATTTCTTACTTGGGGAAGAAGATATCCAACGACTTTAACTCCACCTGGGGTTTTCTCAAGAATGTTCCAAACTTGATCGTAGAAATTCTTTGGTACTCTGTTCAAGGCACCATCAATCTGTCTTCTCATCAAAGGATTACTAAATTGAAAAAAAAAAAAAAAAAAAAAAAAAATTAACAGAAATAAAATTTCAAAGACAGGCATAGTTTATTATTAATATTAGGGATTTGTTGTGAAGCAGAAAAGAAAAGAAAATCACGTAAAAAAAAAAAAAAAAAAAAAATTACCGAAATCACAGTAACGAAAACTTAGGAATCTAAAATTTCAGGACTGTAGGTCCAGATTGTTATAGTGGAACACACCTATTCTATAGTTAATAGACTCTTCCACCTATAATAAGTAGCAGTTGCAACGTCGCTCAGGGAGTTGGCTAGTCAGTCAATCAGTCAATCCATTAGTCGGATACTAAAGTATCAGCGACCACCACTAGATTTCTCTGCGTTATACCTATTATATCAAGTTCCTAATGTTTTGTACGTTGAACCTGTTTTAGGACCGACTTAGTACAAATACAAGCCACCACTGTGAAAATCACTCCATAACACAGATCCAGGCCAGAATGTTTTTAATTTGCTCACGGAGTTGGCCTGATATGTTGGGCTACTGCCTCTAGGAGCAAAGTTGAAAAAGTGTGACACAGTGACATTTGCATTTACACAAAACATTTTAAAAAAATGTTTTAAATTTTCAGCACCCTCTCTCCTTTATGTGCATATGCAATTGCATCAGCATAAACCTCACTTTAGTCTGAGTGTGATGAAATGTGTCACATTTCCACTATCATAATTTCCTACATTATATATATATATATATATATGAATAAATAATCGACCCTCCCGTCGAGATTCGACATGTGAGGGTCAAGCAGATCAGTTTCCAGGAAACCGACAACCCGACACCGGCACATGAGATTTGATTATAGTGGTGAAGGCCTCGTGCAGGACTATCCACACTTTTTGAAGGGACGAATAGAGAGACCTGGTGCACCGAATGCCACAAGGTTTCCAAACGACCCGCCACAGGTTTTGAATTCAGAGTTGTCCTTCTCCTACACCAGTTGCCATCCAAGGCTATAGAACCCAGTCTGTCCTGCTATTTTATGCATAGCTGGAGGGAGAGGATTCATACCTTTCCCAAGGGTATTAGCACGTAAGTGAATGTAATGGTTTTGACTGGAATTCGAACTCGGCTCTGCGATTCCTCAATTCAAGCCGCTATCCATTATTCCACTGTGTCTTCTATATATATATATATATATATATATATATATATATATATATATATATATATATATATATATATATATATATATATATATATATATATATATATATATATATATATATATATATATATATATATATATATATATATATATATATATATATATATATATATACATATATATATATATATATATATACATATATATATACATACATACATACATACATAGGTGCATACACATACATGTGTATTTTTGAATAAAAATTCCAAGAGGATAGAATCCAGGTAGAACTCAATGTCCAGGACAGAGTAAGGATATAATAAAAGGCTTAAACACTAATATTCCATGGTCATAATTTATTCCATTGGTAAATAATCCAAATTCCAATTCATATATATATATATATATATATATATATATATATATATATATATATATATATATATATATACACACGCATGCACGCACATACATACATAAATACATACAGTTGATATATAATCCAAGTGAATCCTAATAATATAAAATATTAAAACTGATCTGCCATAAAGAGAGCTCAATATATATATTCAACAGAGCATATAAATTACACATAATAGGAATTAAAGAAACCAGATCTAAAGTAAATTTTAAAAACATGGCAGAAGAAAAGAAGTGAAGAAAAAAGGTAAAAAAGGAAAAAGTAAAGAAATAGTCAAAAGACAGAATAGGAATAGGGAGAAAGGGATTTTTTCTGTTTTTTTTTCCCCCTCTTTTTCTTCTGCCTTGTTTTTAAAAGTTTCTTTTCATTTTATTACTTTGATTGGTTTGAAAATTCTTTTCAGTAAATCTTAATTCGTAAGGTGAAATTATCATAACTATTGAGTAATTTTAATTCCTATTGTATGTAATATTTCTTGAGTGCGATCTTCAGGCCATAATCTTAATGACCTGAAGATTGTGTTCAAGCATGAAACAGACAGTTGCCACTCATAAATATAGCATGCCTTAAAACTGGACATTGATGTTTTGAAACTAACCTATTTTCCATTAAATTTCAGACAGATTCAGCACTGTGTTGCTGAAGGAGAATTTTCTAAAAGTTTCAAGAATTTTTAGAAAATTCTAGCAGCAGAGATGGCAGTATAAATACAGAAAACACAAGCGTCATAAGAATATTTGCTAGGCCACAAAAATACCCTGAGCTGACTAAGCATAGAAATGAATACAATATGGGAACCAGTAATAAGGAGTGCCAAATAAAAGCAATAATACCAATGAAAATTGCAATATGAGCTCTGGTAAAAAAATATTGCTGAAGACATTAGGTTTATAATACCCAGAAATTCATACACAGATGTCCTCAAGGACACATGGCACAGTGGATAATGGCATTACTTAGAAAGAGTTTGAGTTCAATACCTGGTTAAGGCAGTGGAGAACTTGGAGAGGGGAATTAAACATAACTGATAACTGACATCCATTAGACATGGTACGTGAAACTAGAAAAGTCGCCAGTTCGACATTCCAACCACCTGAAGAAGGCCAGAATGTACAACGGCCGAAACATTGTGATAAATATGGCAACAAATAAGTCCGAATAATGCAAAAATACCTCATCTCAGAAATATAGACAGATACTCAACAGTTCAGTTTACTTCTAGCTGTGTACATGCAGACAAATTGTCATTAATAGATGTCAAATTGTCACTGATAGATATCAAATTGTTATTGATAGATATCAAATTGTCATTGATAGGTGTATTCATCACAGCATCAAGAGATTGTAAGCATGTAGTAAATTTATTGAGACAAGAATGAAAAAGTATTCTGTGGCAATATTCAGCTAAAGTGTGTGAGGCCTACAAGACATATTTTGGTATGCCTGTTTGAGATCATTTCATCTGCAAATTCAACAAAAGAACTCTAGAACAATGATTCCGTATGTGGGGCACATACATGTGTAAGATATGCACCCTTCGGCTCACTATACCAACATGGGCTCAAATTTCATTTTGTATTATTATTTCATGATTAAAATGATACAAGTATGTGTATTAACTTGACCCCCCACTGAGTCAGGTTGTGACACAAGGTCAGTTTTTAACATGGGGACCCGAATGTTTTCACTCGGGCCTCTGGTCCAAGCTGGTCTTAGCTTGTCCAAGCTGGTCAGATCTGGTCTAAGCTAGTCATAGCCGTGATACTACCAGCCCAGGGACGAGCCCTGTGCCAGGTAAGTATACAAGTATGTTACAGAATAAACTTTCATTCAAATATCTTATATTTCTGCCTTTCAATTCTCTAATATATGCTTTGAAATTATTAACTGTCTTTTTGTTTCTTTTAATTTTTCTCTTTTATGGACATTACAAATATGAAAAATATGATTTTGGGCCATACAAATATGGCCCAAAAGCGGTTGGGAACCATTGCTCTAGAAGATGGAAAGTTTTGCTTGTTTAGATAGCAGAATTTTTAACTGTAAAATTTCGGGAATTTTTTAAAATTTAAATATTTTTTTACTTTTATTTTTTTTAAACCAGCCTTATTGAAAAATTAAAAGTCCGATAATGTAAAGTTTGTTTTAACTTCTACATAATCACAGTGTGAAATTAAAAAAAAAAAAAAAAAAAAAACAATTGATTAACAGAATTCTGCATCAAAACATGACAAAAAATTCAGTAAAGTATGAAAAAAAATTGTTTTGAAATTGATTTTACTTTGTTATGGAACATGAAAAAAAGGTTTATATTCCTCATGAAAAGCAAAAAAAAATAAAAAAAAATAAAAAAAAATAAAAAAAAAGAATAAACCAAAATGAGCCAACCTACCTTTTATCCAACTCATGCATATTTCGTTTGAGTAATCTCAGTAGCAGAGTTCTGATTTGTCGGGGTGACAGACTAAAGATGTCTGGGTTCATACTTTTATCAGTGCTTAACTCTAGCTTCATGGCATAAATAAACCAGCTTAAAGTGAAATAAAAAATGACATTATTGCAAGACAGTAATCAAAATTTTTATACAAAAAAAAGAAGTTCTATAGAACAATGTTAACATTAAAAGAAAAAAAAAACAACTTATAAATCATCATAAAGGACAGAAAAATTATTGTCACTGTCACAAAAAGGTTGTATGGAGTGTGTTTGGATCACAAAAACAAATGCTTATCAATCAAATATTAGCAAAGAGTAATATTTGGTTAAAGATTTCAAAAAGTTATGAAAAAAAAATTATGATCAATTATTTTAACAATATTATACAAGAGACAACAATGTAAATATATCTTATTAATTTCTTAACAGAAAAAGGTGGTAATAACATTTCTAAATGTGGAATGAAAAAAGACGAGGATGAAAGTAAATATGAGTTAAAATTAATAATAATAGCTGACAATAATTCATCTAATAAAAAAATGAAGTAAATACTAGAGAAAAATTTATAATAATGGCTGACAACGCTTCATCTGATATGAAAATGCAGATGAAAGTAAATACAAAGGAAAAATTTATAATAATGGCTGACAACGCTTCATCTAATGAAGATGAAAGTAAATACTTGTAAAAAATTATTAATAATGGTTGAAAGAAGGCTTGGAGAATTTAACACTCACAGGATACATTTAAGGCAAGAGAAGCAGAGAAAAACAGCGAGTAAGTTACTTGATAAATTTGTGTAAATAGATGAAGAAACCAGTGGCATAAAGAAAAAAGTATGGCTGAGAATAAAAAAGTATAGGAAGGTGTGGAGGACCATTATTGATCATATTCTGAAGAAGCATGGAATATAGAAAGTATACACTTGACAAAGTGGAGCAAATGTATGGTAGAAGAAGTAGTATAAAAAGAAAAGGGAGTCATAAAGGAGAAGGTATTGTCAGTAGTAATAAAAGAAGGAAGGTGTGGAGGATCATGATCACTCAGGTCGTGAAGGGAAAGATAACATGTTTAAATCAATCAATTTTAATATTTAAAAAGAAAAATTTTATTCCATTGTCCATTCCACATCCGGAATCAAAGAAAAGATTTTTTACCCAATCCGAATCTTCAGGATCCCAGCAAAAAACTGTGGACTGGTTGAAATAAGTTTTCCAATATTGATAATGATTTCTTGTTGGAGAACGGATTCCGAGAGATTATGCGGCTTGCAACAGGAATAAATGATTTCTTTGATTTCTGAAGGTGGAATGGGTTTGTCAAGGACAGTTTCTTCGTGTGCAAATACACCAACTGTTAACTGAAATGAAAAAAAAAAAAGAAAATTGAAAAAAAAAAGCAAACATTTGTTAGAAATTTCTATCTGTAAATTTTGAAAAAAAAAAAAATCAAAAATTCAAGCTGAAAAATTATGTACAAAATGTTTCATATTTAGTTTTATTTTTTAAATGTTTTTAATTTAAAAGATGGCAGCAGAGTTTGTTTTTTAATCAAATTCACCCCATGGAAGGTACTAAATCCACCATGACATAAGGGGTTACTGAGTGTTAAAGAATAAGAAAAAAAAAAAGAGAAACATTATTAAGGAGTGAGAACAATAGAAAAATAATCAAGAAGAGAGTAGATAATGATTGACACTGCATTTAAATTTTTGAAGATCAAAATTAGCTGGAATATATGAAGCTAGAAAAGAGTTCCACAAGCGAGAAGTGTGAGATAAAGTAACTGTTAACATAGAACATATGGTTACATATAGCCAATTCAACTGTGAATTTATGAGACCTTGCCACCAATCTAGTACTGCGCTTAATTCATAAAAATCTATGTACTACAGTGAAGAGTTCAACTGAACAATTACCATGAAAGTATATATAGAAAAAGCCACAAGGAAGCTACATTACAGCAGTGGGAAAGTGAATGAACCTGAGATGCCAGGTCAGAGCCAACAATATTGCTGATTCTTCTTTGGATTTTATCAAGAATCTCTAAATATACAGCAGGAGCACCGGACCATATGTGGCAGCAATATTCAAGGTATGGATGAAGGGTAAACTTATAAATATGTAAGATAGATTCAGAAGAGAAAAAATTGTCTTGTTCAACAGAGAACCAATTTTCTTCCTTGTAAATTGGGAGTTTCTTTTTTCTTTTTTTTTTTATATTTACTTACATGTAAATAGGAACATTGCTAAAAAATTCAAGCATTCTACCAACTTGTTTTTAGGCACTGTCAGGCAATTTTAAAGTAATTTATATTTTTATCCAATTTTCATCTCATATATAAATATATATATATATATATGTGGCAGACATGATGAGACAGAACCTGAGACGAGCACAACTGGTTGCGACTTGCCTTGTCCCCGCCAAAAAAGAGCCTGTATTTGCTTAGCATGTAAAGCTACTGCAGTTGAAATGAGGGAGAAAAAGCACTTACCGCTCTGCCGTAATCTGTCCTCGGCCAGATAACGTAAAAGAATGAGGGGGGACTTGCATTGCATTTTTATGCAATGAAGATGCAAAAAATTATGGGATCACATGAAGATGCAAGGGATTATGGGTATATGGACAAATATAAAAGCAACTACTTTTTCCCAGTGGGGGAGTTCTTTGAGTGATGTTCACAGTTGGTGGCTAGAAAAGTCTATTAGATTGATTTTGAGACAGAACTCAAGAAGGAATGACTCGAGGTTGAAATACCAGCTGGGAGAGCTTGAATTTACTCGCTGGTTGCCGTTTTTTTTTATTCTTTTATATATATCCATATATATATATATATATATATATATAATGGTCTGACAGTGGCCAAAGGGAATTTTTAACAGTGGCTCCTCCTGCTTTTAATGCATTGCTCTTCAGTTATGAAATGAGCACACTGGTTGCTGATTTGCATTTATATCGATCATGTATATAATATGTTAAAAGATTCCCTTTCTCTACCATGCACTGATAGCTTAGGTGGGGAATCTCTGCCTGATGCCAAATCAGTTGAGTTTTGATCCCGGCTTGAAGCAATCAGTTTTCTAGCCACACTGATGAGCTGTGATACAGTGAAACTGTCTGTGGATATAAGACAAACACTGGTAAAGTTTCTAAATGCAACTTTACTAATACAAAGCCTGCCAAATAAAAAAAAAAACAAACCTTGAGACAATGAAAGAAGAAAAAAAGAAACTCAGAACAAATAGAGAAAAAAGAAAAAAAAAAAAATCACACAAGATGGGACAGGAAACAAAAAAAGCTGAAACCTACTTCGACAATAATCAAAAGTGCTCAATGCCTGTTGGAAATAATCCAAGACAGAGCAGTAAACCAGCACAGATGTAATAGATGTGTATGAACTTACCTGTTTGCCCCGAACCAGTACAGATGTAATAGATGGTGCCAAACTGTCCACAACTTTATCGAGGAGAGCAGCGCATAATCTGACCTGAGCCCATTGGCGTTTTGTGCCAGCCAAATGTAAAGTTTTTTCCAATCTCTCTTTAACGGTGTACTCTTCAACATGAAACTCTAGGCCTTCTCTTTCAAGGAGGATGCTTAAAATTTGAACTTTCTTTCTGATACTTTCGGAATATCGAAGCATTTGAATAAGATCATTGGTAGAACGAATAGTCAAATCCTGCAATCACAAAATAAAGGAAAGATTTTTCAGTACACAGATTTGAACATATTTTTGATTTTTTTAAAAATTAGTCCTAGCAAAAAATAAAAAAACAAACAAAACATAGAAGCACAAACAAAAAAAATCATTATTTGTGACACCTTAATGTCTTTTTTGTAACAATAAGTAACGTTAAAACATACTTTTCTATTAAGACCAGCATAGTTATTTTTGATGTTATGCAAATAACCTTTCGGCCTTTGTACCTTCTGGCCTTCTTCAGGTATCTGTTGTACTTGGTAACTTTTTTTTGAGAATTTTAAACTAAACTCAGAGGAGTATATTGTCCTTATTCTGCCTTTAATACATATGAGATACCTTATTTTTCTGCTTATAAGACACATCTTTTTTCCTATAAAATATATCCAAAAATAATCAATAAATAATTTATAAATCAATAGAAGTTATAAGTTTGGGATGGGAGCATGAGTGTCAGCTCCCCAGTTACATCCAATTCTGAGCCCTTGAAAGTAAAACAAGTCCAGTGTTTCAAAATTAAATTAACAATGTTTTGCGACAAGCGATTTATGCAGTTGAGATACTGGGATATTGACGGGAAACAAAATTCCTGCTACAATAACACCTGATGAAGTAACACTATCCTTAATTCGTAAACTACTGGTCCCAAAGCTGCATCATTTATCGTAGACACTTTAAGAATAATACTACTGTATAGTACGCTTATTGCAGGCGTGAGGGCAAAGGAAATGCAGGCTGCCTTACTTTTTGTAGATTTATCTAAAGCCTTCGATTCTGTTCATGGAGGTGGGATAGATAGAGAAGATCTTTCTGGTATATGGCATTCCCTCTGAAACAGTAACTGCCATAATGATGCTATACAGAAATACCAAATCTTTGGTTAAATGCCCAGACGGAGTGCTAGTTTCTTATTAACGTAGGGGTCATTCAAGGTAACATCCTTGCACATGGTTCATAAACAAGGCATGAATAATAATAATAATAATAATCCATCATCTCAAAAACAGTCACTGCAGCTATAATTTGCTGCTTATAAGACGCATCTTATTTTCTTGATAAAAACCACACTGCGTCGTATAAATCAAAAGTCTGTGATGGAAGTTATAAGTTTGGGGTCAGCTCCCTAATTACATCCTTTCTGAGTTCTGAGCCCTTGAAAGTAAAACATGTCCAGTGTTTTGAGAGAGACTTTTTATGAAGTTGGGATACTGTGATATTAACAGGAAAAAATTCTTGCTGCATTAACACTTGATGAACTAATACCATCCTTATTTCTTAAACTATTGGTCATAAAGCAGCATTATTTATGATGGACACATAAGAATAATACTTGTGTATAGTATGCTATTGTTAACTGCTTATAAGACATGTTTTTTTTTTCCTATAAAATATATCTAAAAACCACACTGTGTCATATAAATCAAAAGTCTGTGATGGGAGTTTAGAACCAGCTCCCCAATGACATCCAGTGTTTTGAAAGGAAGACTATTTATGCTGTTGGGATACTGGGATATTGATAGGAATTTAAATTCCTGCTGGTCACAAAGCAGCATCATTTATCGTAGACACTTTAAGAATAAAACTACTGTATAGTACGCTTATTGCGGGTGTAAGGGCAAAGGATGTACAGGTCGCCTTACTTTTTGTAGATTTATCTAAAGCCTTCGATTCTGTTCATGGAGGTGGGATAGATAGAGAAGATCTTTCTGGTATATGGCATTCCCTCTGAAACAGTAGCTGCCATAATGATGCTATACAGAAATACCAAATCTTTGGTTAAATCCCCAGACGGAGCGCTAGTTTCTTATTAACGTAGGGGTCATTCAGGGTGACACCCTTGCACATGGTTCATAAACAAGGCATGAATAATAATAATAATAATCTATCATCTCAAAAACAATAATTTGCTGCTTATAAGACGCATCTTGTTTCCCTTATAAAAACCACCCCGTGTTGTATAAATCAAAAGTCTTTGATGGGAGTTATAAGTTTGGGGTCAGCTCCCCAATTACATCCTTGCTGAATTCTGAACCCTTGAAAGTAAAACAAGTCTAGTGTATTGAGAGAGGCTGTGATATTGACAAGAAAAGAAATTCCTGCTACATTAACACCTGATGAACTAACACCTTTCTTATATCTTAAACTATTGGTCATAAAGCAGCATTATTTAAGGTAGACCCTTTAAGAACAATACTACTAAAATGGTTATGGTTTTTGTTTACTCTCATGAAAAAAGTAAAAGTAAAAAGAAACTGAATGAAATTTAAAATTATCTGA